TTTCCCCAATGATTTCTAACCTGAAGAACAGCAATACTCACTTATCTCAACTTCATTCACTTTATTTATGTTGGCAATTGAAACAAAGAAATATTGGATTGGTATCAGTGATGTCAATGATCAAAGTAATTAGGTAATCATTACTCATTTTGAATCAAATTCTGGAAGATTTGTGTTTAATAGAAGTTAAAAAGCACCTCCCTAACTTCTTTAGACACTTCATTTGAAAACCCAGGAAATAATTCTACTGACTTTTATTTTATTCATCTGTAAAACTGGAATTAGATTAAAACTCCGAGCATAATATCCCATGATTCTTTAATTACAAAGTAATGTTGCCTGAATTGGAATAAAGGCAGAAATGAAAATCTTTATTATGAGAGTTTATGTTAGAATAAATCTTCTCTCTAACTAAAAACAATTAGAGAATATAAGTAGAATGTTTTTTCCCTTTTAATATTTGATCTCAGGGATTAAAAAGAAAATATATTTTCTACAATGTTATTTTGTCCTTTAAAAAGAATAAAAAAAATTCCAAAAGCCAACACTATTTAACTTATTTTAGAGCCCCTATATTGCTCCTACATTGATGTCTGATAGCATTAAAGAATGCAAAAAAAATCTCTAAAACTTGTTTTCTTTTATCACACCTTGACTTCAAAAAATAACTAACAGTTTTTGCTCTTCTGTAACACTAAGACATTCTTACTTATGAGTTAAAATCTTGGTGACTATTCGTCAAATTGCTACATTTTACAGTAATTCCATATAAATGCATAGATAAAGGTTGATTAATGTAGCCTTTCACAACAATTTATTTTGTGAGAATTAATACTTATACATTTAGTGGAGGCACAAGAGTCAGCAAGTGTGTGCTTAGTATAGCTTGCATATTCTGTAGTTTGCTTCTTTAGACAAATAAGAGGAGTAATGTGTAGCATAAAAAATAAAAAACAAAATGTCATTTAATTGTTTTAATAATGTTAATATAAACTATTGTGAATATAGGTGAAGTATTTTCATAAATGGGCAGCTATATAGTTGAAATGAGGTGATATTGATATCAACATGTATGTTACAACTAATATTACTTGTTTTCATTTTGCATGAAAATTATTCTTGTACTTAAAAGAAAATTACTGCCACTTACTAAATTGCTATCATTGTCATGGCCCATGCTTAATTACCCATTTTCTTTGGTGCTTGATTTAAGTAAACTTTATCTTTACAAACAAAACTATATTTGATTTAAATAAAACAAGTGCTTCTTCTTCTTATTATTACTACTAGAAGCCTGGTGCACAAATTCATGCACCAGTGGGGTCCCTCAGCCTGGCCTGAGGATTGTGCTGAAACCAGCTCTCCGACATCCCCCAAGGGGTCCTGGATTGCGAGAGGGTGCAGGCCAGGCCGAGGGACCCCACTGGTGCACGATCAGGGCCGGGGAAGGATGTGGGAAGTTGGCCAGCCTGAGAGGGACTGCAGGGGGTGGGGGAGTTTCAGGTCTCGCTCAGTCCCGATCGGCCAGACCCCAGCAGCAAGCTAACCTACCGGTTGTAGCGTCTGCCCCCTGGTGGTCAATGCACGTCATAGTGACTGGTGCACTATCTTCCTCCTGGTGGTCATTGCACATCATAGCGAGCGGTTGAGTGGCCTTAGTTTATCATTAGCATATTATGCTTTGATTGGTTGAATGGATGACCGGACACTTAGCATCTTAGGTTTTTATTATATAAGATCATTTTTACTACTAACAGAACACGCAATATGTAGAATATCTAAAGAGATGGAAAGAATAGCCATCATAGTGAAAATGAGAGTGGTTGTACTTAAAGAGTATATAGGCAAGAATACTCATATTTGAAATAAAATGCAGTAGAAGAATTAGTGAGTATGGCTGACAATACTGTATGCCTCTATGGAGTAACTCATTTCATTGACGTTAGGTACTTAGACTAATGAAAGAGGTAGCAAATAGTTGACTATTTAAGAGGTAAGCTATTTCATCTTAAACATTGATTCTTACCTATCAAAAACTAGTAGGAGTAGATGATAAAGTCAGCATAATAATTGGTTTTATATTTGTATGAGAGATTTTTGCCCTTAGTGAAAATATTTATCAGTTGTTTTTCTTGTTCTATAGAATAAGTACTTAGTGTACAGAACAAGAAATATTTTTTGTTCAGGATAATTTCTTCAGATTAATTTAATCAGTGGTTCTGAAAGTCGGATTTCTCACCTATCACTATTATTAGCATTACTTAGGAATTTATTAGAAATGCAAAATCTCTGGCCACACCACAGACCTACTGAGTATGAAATTGCGGGGCCTGGCCTAGAAATATGTATTGTAACAAGCCCTTTGGACATTCTCTTGCATGCTAAGTTAGAGGGTCACTAAACTTGAATAACTGGTGCAGGGAGTGACTTTTTTCATGTGAATTGTTTTACCTGATGTTTTCTGAAAAATTGCTTCTTAATAATGCCTCTCAGCTTGATAGAAAATGTTATTTACACTCTTGGCCATAATGTTGGGAGTGATAACATTAGAATATATAGTTTCTAAGCTGAGATTATCCATAAAGACTATATCTTTTTAATTAAATACCTTTTACTTCACAATTATTCTCTGCCTTCCATTATCAAATTCTTCTTTTCTGTGATACCAACTATGGAGTAGACTTTCAACTCCGTTATATCAACTGAATATACAGGGTTTATACTTAGAATTAAAACTTTTATTTGATATGCGAATGAGAGTCAGGCAAATCAAGACTTTTGCTGGAAATGACCCTGTATTTGAAAAATGTTTACTACCAAAGAAATTAGAGCCAAGGTTTAAGAAGGAAGGAATTCTCGGACAAAGAGACATATTAACTGTCTTTTAAAATGTGAAGGTCTATCACATAAAAGGACAGTTTATGTCTTCTGGGGAATTCTAGAGAGTGGGAGTTATGAGCGCTGATATCTGATTAATATAATAAAGATATCATCTAATCAGATGCATTTGAAAATGGACTGGACTGCCTTGTATGCTAATGGGTTTCTTATGGTTAAGAGTATTTAAGTCACAGCAAAGGATGACATGATAGGATGGTTTGGAACTTTGCTGCTCACAGTGTGGTCCCATCTGGGAGTTGTTAGAAATGCAGAAACTCGGGGTCCACCCCAAATCCTAGTGAATCATAATCTGAAATTTAATAAGATCCATGAATGGTCTACATGTACATTAAATTTGGGAAAGCGTTCCAGTTGACATATAATAAATCTTCATATTATTCTATATTTAATTCTCACAGAATTATTTTGTGATTCAGAATTTGAATAACAATCTAGAAGAGACTGAGAAGGGGGTATTTGACGTCACATGTCATGGTGGAGTTACTAAATGAGTGAAATGCTACCCTCAAAATGAAAGATCTGTATCTTGAATATTGTACTGAAGGGAGCTGGTATTTGAATATTATTTCATTAGTTAGCTTGTGACTCTTGGCTTTAAACAAAAGTAAAACATACCTTTTAGATTTAGTGCACTATGTCCTGAAGGTACTTGCACTAACCCCAAAATTATTCCTAATATTTAAACCCCTTTCCCAATTCCCTTCTGCACACCCTCTTTCTTTCCATGGAAACTGGGATATGTAAATTCCCCACACTGAAAGGTTTTCTTTTTTGCTGAGAGTAGGTACTGGTTTTGTCTTCTGCTTCCTCCCTGCCCCTGAAGAGATGGGTTTGTATGAATGAAGAAAGAAAGGAGAATGGGTAAAAGGACATGTAGGTATAGAGAAACTAGAACTCTATGGAGACCAGACTTTGCCCAAATCTGAAATTTACTAGGGCAGGGAGTACTTAACACACAATCCTCATCGCCAAAGCAATGAATGGAGAGGAACCGGAGAGCTAATGAGAAGTGACAGATGCCGCCACACCCTGGATTGACTCAAGTCTTTACAACCGTGACTGTCATGCCTCGTCCTGGGAGAAGGAAGGCGCTTAAAGAAATGAGCACGGGAGACGGGAGAGCCAGAAGGTGCCCCAACCCATTCCCCTCCCTGGCAGCGCGGGCAGACACACGGCTTCCAGCGAGGACCATTGTGTGGGGGGAGGCTCGGTGAGGAAGAGCCTGCCCCCGCCCCACACCTGCCCATCCCTAGCTCCCGCCTCCGCCGGGGGCACGGGGCCCCGCGCGAGCCCAGCAGCCTGGCAGCGGCTTCGGGGCAGTCGTGTGTATCCGCGAGCGCGTGTGCGTGGGGAGGGGAGAGCGAAGACGTGATTACTTCAGAATTTATTTAAGGGCCGGTGGAAACCACTGCAGCAGCTTCCAGGGGAAGCCCTTGTTCCAGAGGAAGGCGAGGTGGCTGCTGCCAGGGAGGAGGAGGGGGAGAGACGGAGGAGGAGCAGCGGCAGCAGCAACAGCGAGAGGCGAGTGAGGAGAGATGCTGTAGCATCCACGGCGGCTCCCGGCAGGTTGGTCCTCCCGGCCCACGGATGCCGGCGAGGAGGCTCGCCTAGAGGCTGGGAGGAGAAACGGGGTGTGTGTGGGGC